TTTCAATCTGTTCCTTTTGTTAATGTGTCCTTATGGATTATACATAAGATTTATACACAATTTTGTCCTGGAAGACATCCGTAAACTGCTCTTACCTAAGATTATCATAATGTTATTTTACCAAAATTTCATGTTTTTCGTGTATGTAAATAATTTATTTTGCGTGTTCTTAAAATCTGTTATTGTTGTTAAATCTACTTTTACCTGACATTAAAACATATTATATTCGGATGTAGAATATGAAAATGTGAAAATAGTGAGTGATATCATTTCTGTTATTGTTAAAATAGGTTTTGATATGCATAAGAATGAAAGAGCGGATAAGAATGAATGAACAGAAGAGACAAAGTCACAAATAATATTTTCAGCAATTTAGTGTATATTGATAATTTTGCTTCTTGTACAATTTTTTTTGGTGTTTTTATTTCGTGCACTGGAAAGAGAAGGTCAAAAACGTAAAACGCATCAAAAAGTGACTTTCTCAAATCATCGTCTTTCCGCTTAGCAAAATAAAATAAAGTTACTTTTAAGGTAAAACTGAATGATTATTCAAAGCCTCCCTTTTAGTAATTTTAGACATGTGCTATTCTTAAATGTTGTGAATGAGTTTTTATTCAGATACTTTTTATTACATATTTAATAATATTTTACCAGCGTGATATAAATTATAAACACATCTGCAAGGCATCGTTGTTATCCTTAAAAATATGTTCCAGATATTTTTTACTACATTGTATTTTATTTCATCACATAATATAACAGGATTAGAAAAAGGTATATCAGAAATAATATATATCTGAGATCAGTACCATTGAAGACAGCACATGTGATGGGGAAGGTTTTATTCCGTGCAATAAGTTACATTTGAGATGTAGTGAATACAGATTAAGTAACTATCTAAAGGGCCTTTGAATTGTGTTTGAGTAAAACGTGCCTTCCGGAAATATTAATAACAGCAATAATGCATGTAAGACATAAGACTGAGCAATTTTCCATTCATTTTTTCTCAAATATTATAATAAAATTACAATTCAATTCCTGGCCTCATTTATCACCGCAAAACTATTCAGTCTATTTACATGTTACATGTTTCTGTCAACGCAGTCTAAGGAACGTGGTTATTAATTTGATATATCCATATATGCGAGAGGACATAATGATTCTTGCTTTGATGGTGCATTTTTATGAACGATAGCATTCCTTTCCCGGGTTATGTTTTCTTTTATCATTTATTATATTAACTCCTATGTATATACAAATATGATTTTTAGGGCTTAATGGGCCTGTAATTATTACTTAAATTTCAATTAATCCTCTTTTTTTTTCAGAAGAAATTCGCCACAAATATTTCTCTGGTAACGTAAGTATTGCATTAAAGACAAATACTTGTCTATTAAGCAACAATTTAGGAGAAGTAAAGCAAATTAAGCATACTTGTAATTAGTATTTTCTGGTATATTTATATTAAAATTACACCGCCGTTAAAATGCTGCCTACATTGTTTTGTAAAAAAAACACACCAAAAAATACACCATACTGTCCATAATTGAAATAAATTATTACCCTGGCAACCTGATGTATTTTTTCGGGCAATAATTATGTCTCCGAGGACAAATATTGCATGCTATGAACGCTTATAACTGGCCGGGACAGCGTGGTACCAATCCACAGCTCGTTAAGTCACAAATATAGTGATACACCCTCTGATATTTTCCCATTAAATACAAGAAACTTATTAACACTACTTCATTTAAAACTTTATCAAACAATAAACGTATGTCGTCATGGCATCTGTAAAAGTTTGTATATTAGTTAAACATGTGTTACCGAATAACGTTTATACGAGGTATGTTCAAAAAGTTCTTGGTCCGATATACTTCTAATTTACACACGATACGTCGATACCAATATCTTATTAAAGATCAGTAGAGGGGTGTGTCATTTAGACCAATTGGAGAAAGTTGAAATCAGAGCCGTCATTAAGTACCTCTGTAAGGAAGGGATGTTCCGCAAGGAAATCCATGAAGACTTCTTGGTAAAACTTGGGAAAGAGTCCCCTTCCTATAGCACTGTGAAAAATGGGCTGCTGAATTTAAAAGAGGCAGGGAGAGCATTGGAGATGATGAGCGGCCTGGGCGAACAAAAGACGCCACCAACAATGAAACTGCCGGAGCTGTGCACGATCTGGTCATGTGCGACAGAAGGTTAGACCTGCGAAGCATTGCTAGGAGAGTGGGTATAAGCTTTGGTTCAGTTAAGGCAATTTTGACTGATGTCTATGGCATGTCATAGGTTTCCGCTAGATGGGTCCCCAGACAATTGACTGACGACCAGAAACGGACCAAGCTTGACATTTCTCCCGCTACAAGGATGAACCTGATTTTATTAACCGGATCGTAACTCAGAATGAAATATGGGTCCATCACTTCGATCCAGAATAAAAGAAAACAGCATGCAGTGGAAGCACCCTGGCTCACCCTCTTCGAAGAAATTCAAGAGATTGTCATCAGCAGGGAACATGATGGCTTCAATATTTTGGGATAGTCAGGGGATAATCATGATTGAATATCTTGAGCAAGGTCGTACCATAAACGAAACGTTCTGTGCAGACGAACTGAGACGACTGCGTCAAGAAATCGCGTGTAAACTAACACTATCGCTATAAAAGTAAGGAAAAACTGTCCAAAAAGTAAAACTGAGGCACGCGTTCTGTTTTGGTGTTAAAGACGCTTGCCTTTTAGCTTTACGTCGACAATAAACAAAGGGAAGTAAATCCTAAATGTATATTTATGACTGATAAGTGTAATAAAATTGTTATCTCGGTTTGCTTTAAGACATAATTAGTTATTGTAAGTCCCAGGTTTGCTTCAGCCTGTTGAAGGGCGGTATCGGAAAGTACAAGCTAGCTACCACCGGCTTAAACAGAATTCAACAATTGTAAGCTATGTGTGACGCTGAACCTGACAAGCCATGTACCTCTATAAGTTTAAGCTTATATCTTTGACGCAATTCAATAAAAATGAAATGTTTACAGTAAATTTGTAAAATGGACCAACCTCCTCTCCTAGTTATGACAAAGAAGGAGTTTAAATGGGCATAAAATCCAAATAAACTATAAAACGAGTCGTCAAGTGTACATGCAAAAAGACTGGGGCAATAGTTTTAATATCATTATCGTTGGCCCACCCCTGTCAACCAGTTGGTAGTCAGATAGTTATAATTATGTTATATAACAGACATGATGTGACATTATGATTGTGGCATGGTCGTTTGTTTGACAAGAAGTCTTGAAATATGTGTACAGCCCCTTTGCATAGGTAAATAAGAAGTAGGGATTTTCAGATAAATTAAATTCATTATTTTTTATAAACAATAAAAAATAAGGACTTTCTACATGTATTGATAACTAAATGATGGTTTAACAAACGGAGCTTGGGTGGAGTTTGAAAATGCTGATACTGGACAACGATGAAGTTTGAAATACAAACACATTTATAACAACTTTCTATAGATATGCTGGATACACATTCACAAAACTTGCTTAAATTGTACATATCAGTATCACACATCATAATAGTAATACCTTCATTCTAATGTTAACAGCCCAGCTGGAAATAATAGCTTTCTAATTTCATGTTTACTGTCATGCTAACTTGGTTTGACTTGTAAAATTATTCTAAAACATGTATAAAATAATGGTTTGTAGATAACACTATCATTTGAATAGGATTTTTAACGACTTGTTCAGTGTCTTTTTTAATAACTCACTATCAACGGTTTTTATATTTTATTGAATGAATGCGGTATAAGTTCTAAAAGATTCTAGATAAACAATATGCTTTGATTACTACCATTGCCTAGGAATTAGTAACAAACATGTTAAAACAATGACTTTGTTTTGATTTGTTTAATTGTTCAAATTGCGGGAAAATAATAATTTCTGATTGGTCGAACAAAAGTAATATATCAGCTCTTTCCTTCAGTCTCCGGATAAGCTCCAAATAGGAGTAATCGGCGAGGTGCTCGGAAGTTAAAGGAGCAGGAAATGTTGGTACATGGTTCACTCGGTCATAAAAAATTGCTTTGTGATATTAATCATAGCTATATTGTTTATTGTTACCATTTTACTAAACATGAAATAGTAAAGCGCTATTCAGAAAACAAGAATCAATAGATACAAATTGAAACAGTGTTTAAATAATGTAACGTAAAAGATATTTTCCAATTTCATCCTTTTACCGATATGTTAAATTTTCGTTTAAGTAAATTCGTTTTTTGAAGCCCAGCATGCGCATTAGAATTTTTGTAGACTGGTTCTAATTATTCTAGGCTTTAAATGATATTCATTAACTGATACTCAAAAAAGGATGCCGTCGGCAATCTTCTCAACAGTATGGTCTGATGATGACATCTCCAATGAGTTACTACCTTAATTAATTGTTATACTTAAATTGTTATGTATTGGGCATAACTAAAAAAGTATAGCAGTGTTGTAGATTGATAGATCACAAACAGGATAATTGAAATGTCTAAAATCTACAAAGAGACTTTGAATAATTTTTTAAGTTACTGCCCTTTGTATTTGTTTCATAATTAATATTTGTCATGGGTAGAACTAAAAGGTATATTCTCTTTAATTTTGATGTACATGTTCACTATCAAATTGGAAATGTATTTCCAAGGTGCATATAATCCTAAAAGTCATTTTTGCTTTATCAGCCACTGATTATAATCACTGTGTTTGTACACATGACAACACTATTGTATATTAACGCAACAATATAAATACAGTATATTGTGTGTATATATTTCACCAAATCAAGCCTTGATTTGACATAGCCTAAAAGTCCGGAAATACATTACATTTAAACTGCATTGTTTATGACAATAATAGAAATGACACAATGCAACTGTGCTTATGTGATGTAAATATTTTCTTCATATCAACAACTCACTGCACGAAGGTTAAACTTAACATTAACAAGACAAACAATTGTGCATAAGAAACTACATTTATTTAGTTATTACTTCACATAAAAATGAAACAAATACACATTAATATAGAAGATATTTGTCAATGAAATAAATAAGATAAGATGGGACAATACGTATATAAAATTTATAAATTAAAACCTATAGCCCTTCCTGTATTAATAGGAGAAACCAAACATGTACTCTAAAGTAATGAACTTAGAGAGGAAAAATATCACAGTTAAATATGTATACATAAATATTAACACATGCGTTGCTTTAAGTAAAGTACAATACAAATTTTATTCTTATGTTAAAAAAAGAAACCCACAATAATCGATATTTTCCCGATTAAACTTATGAAATATTTAAACTGAAAAGATCACGTGCTATTGAACATGAAAATGACCTATCACATGACTTCCTCAATCAATTACTACGATTTGGACAAATACATCAATGATATCACAGGTTTTTATGATACAAAAAAATAATACATATATAAATAAAATACAAATTTATATGTAAATATCAATTAGAAGATGAGGACGGACATTCTATCACAGGCTTAATGACTAAATAATAACATGTTAATAACATTATCATTATAGTATATGTAGAATCGTGTGTCATTATCAAGATTTTTATATAATTATATAATTTGATAAAGTGCTTAACATTTATGACCGTATATTTCATAGTAAAAGCCCGATAATCGAAAATGTTTTAGATGACCGTATTGCTCAATTGTCTGAAATTTATTTAAAAGAAATCACATCTTAATGGAGATTTTGTTAAACCTGACTTAAAGTTCAAACAATTTAAAAATAGATATATGATTTCAGATATATTTATTTCAGATATATAAAAGTATCAAAAGGCAGTGTAATGTATGCTCGTAGGGTTGATTAAATATGAAGAACAGCTGCGTAGACATCGACCCAAAGATATGCAGCCTTATCTAACATAAATTGTAGCTTTCTGTTGTAACTGAAAACTGATAACATTTGTAAAAATGTCAATGTATTCTGTTTCTAAAGTTTGATGGCACCAGGTAATGGTTACAATATTTGCAACCTTTGGTTTAAGTTAAAACAAAATGTAAATAAATTCGGAAGCCAAAGGTTGATACAAGAAAATGTTTTTTTTTCAGGTTTAAGTTCATAGTAAAAGAACGACAGGATTTTTTTTCAATATTTGTAGAATGGAAGTACCATACATATTTATTTTTTTGTTAAATTTGCTCATAACTACAAATGTATATAATAAAATATATTCATTTGGTTAACGAAGCTGAAATAAACTAATCATATAGCAAACAGAAAAAAAGAGATTGTTGTCAATTGTTAACAAGTAATATCTTCATTCTAATGTTAACAGGAATATTTATGATTTTTTTTTATTTCTTGGTCACTGTCTAAGCCACTTTGGTTTGGCTTGCAAAATTATTCTAAAACATTTATAGAATCATGGTTTATAGATAACAATATGATTTGCATAGGAAAATCTGTTCGCGACTTGTTCAGTGTTTTTTTTTTCATTATTCATTATCAAAGTTCTTTATGTTTCCTTGAATGAATACGGTATAAGTTCTAAAAATGAATCTAGATAAACAGTTAACTTTGTTCACTACGTATTACAGGTCGTTGTCTTTTTGTCTACACTTTGTAGGATATTCTGTCAGCAGAAAGATTGGCTAGGAAGGAACGGAGAATGATGTTGCCAGACTTGTCGAGATTTTCCGGAGAGATGGACAGCATATTGGCACGGTCTATATCTATTTTCAAGTTAAAGGCATTGTTGTACTGGTTAACAATAGCCATCACATCTTTCCTCGGGAGACTGCCTGTAACACACAAATATAAATAGTTTATATATACTTGCATAAACTTTGAAATTTGTTGCGACATCGAACCATAAAACTAATATACGTATAACCAAAAATCTGTTTGATTGTTTCACACATTTTCACTAGGGTAGCAAAAAGAAAGAAAGAAAAGAAGAAAAGAGAAAAGAATGGCGATAGAGATGATTATCATTGCATTAACTGTTTAAAATAAAGACATCCTTTTGATGTATATGCTGCTGTTTGATAAGCACTAACATCTCACCATGCAGTAATGTGTAATTTTGAGTTTTCCGATTTAATTTAGCTTGCTTTATGTTTATAACATTTTCAATATTTTAATTTGGAATATAAATATCAGCAAATTAAATTTAGATTGTCCTTAAAAATTTCACTAAACCTAATAATAAGACTTTCTAAATCAAAATTATTTACAACCAATGCTGTGATGTAATGTTTTTATTTAATTCATAAATAACAATTTTGGACCCCTCATTTTATTGAGATTATTTCAGGTTAATAAATATCTAATTTTGGCCATGATAAACAATTTATTATCAAAGCACATGCCTCTTTTTATATACTGAGTTCAAAGTATACCTTTATTTGATATATCACTGTCATACAAAGCCTGTGCCAATTTCAGATACCGGTCCAACCACGGTTTGTCTCGACTGCTAATTGCCTCTTTTGTTACCTATAATCGCCAAACCAAAAAGTGATATCAAATACAAAATTCCTTTATTTCTGTTAACTGCTGTCTCATTCTCGTATTTTATTCCCTGAAATCTGCTTACAAGTTATCGCTTAGACACTACACACAATACTAAACAAATATCTATGCTTCAGAATGCTCCATGAAACAAGTTTGTGAAAGAAAAATATATATGACGTTGTTTTAGGATGTCTAAACGTTTGATTTGTAAGCAGCTTATATATGACTATGTGCAACCAATATCTCCATTATTTATCAAAGTGCTATGTTACCCACTGTTTTATCATTGATATCCTCTTTCATTATAATAATCTTTCTCGTAATAATCTGGTACTTGCTGCAATACAAAATCTACGTTAGCATGTAATATATTGAAACCTATAGGGTAATTTTGACAATTCATTCACAATTGTTTTTGCTATCACTTCCGAATCATTCTGCTTTCTTCGTGGTATCATACAAGAATGTATCATGAAATTATGCAACACGAATAAGTGGAGGTAAGAAATGACAAATGATGACAGTCATACATTTGTCATATGCCATTGCAAAGTTCTTTACAAACTCACAAATTAAGCACAAAAAGGAAGTAATTGCTTAAATTTTTTCATTACTACAAAGCTAATCTATAAACACAAATCTCGTGAAACAAATGAAAGATGCGTAATCATAGTTTGACATATACATAGAAACTACATTAAAGCATTGCTATGATTAATATTTAGCTTTATATGCATCCTTACAATTAGTAAAGATTTTTAGGACAATTAATTCGGTAATCTTATCAACCTGTTGAAAAAATTTCTGTTTATTGTTTTACCTCGTATTTTGATTCCAGATCATGAAGCTGTTGTGACAACTGCATAATCTGTTGTTCCCGTTCTCTAGGTGGTCCTTCACCTCCTCGACCACCTCCACCGCCGCCACCCGCATATCTATACCCGTCACCTTGTCTGTAACCGTCACGGTAAGAATTGCGACCGTCACGTTGCTGGTAATCGTCACGGTAAGAGTTTCTGCCGTCACGCTGGTAATCGTCACGGTCACGATCGTTGTATCTTAAAATAAAAAACCATGACCTATCTTACGTTATGTGATGGTAAATTTGATATTTTTAAACGTTGCAAACAATTTTATGTATCAGAATATCATTTTTACATGTATTTCATCATACAAAATAAATACTAACCATTATAAGATTAAAACTTTAAACAGATGGAGAAAGAATTAAATAAAGATCTGACATTTACTGTTTTCAACGATTGTATACTCTTATCATATTGATAATGTTATATTTTACTACAAATATACTTTCAAATTAATATTATACTGTAATATTGTATGAAAGGAACAGAAAAAACCTAATATAATTGTATACCAAATTATGATCTATGGATGAAAACTATTACGATTTCATAAATCGTTAATCCAATATCATAGTGTTACAAAAGTGAGTAAAGCAAATTGTGTCAGTTGCTAGTAACCAAATTGGAAGTAATATCTAATTTCTAAAGGTCAAATGAAAACCAACAGAAGTCATTTTCCACTGTTACATAAAATATGTTACAGATGTATTTAAAAACACATACCCGCAAAGATTTGATAATAATCGTATTTACATTTGTATTAATAGTATTAAGTTAAAACATCTGTTTTCTGAACACAATTATCGACAAAAGTATTAATCAAAACACATTTAAAAAACAAATATAAAGCTTGTTACATTGTAAACAGAAACTAAGACTGACATTTCACATAATGCTTAACTGTTAAATCAAGGAAAACACATTTTTTTGTATTACATGCAATTAATTTGAATACACGCGACATATAGATAGGAATGGTAAACAAATTTTCTCCTGAAAAGCATAGATAAACATACACGTATACCACCTTAAACATAAAGCTTCATTCTACAAGAAAATCATCAAAATTAATACGATAACGCCACATAGTTTGACGAAGAAACATTAGGTTTGAATTAGTTTTGCTTGTCCCTAAACCATGAAACACCGAAATACCTATTGTTGTAAGCATTCATATTCTCGTACGGATATTGCTGTCGGTTACTAGTGTACTCCCTATATGTTTGAGCACCATAGGTATCTCTGAATATATAAGGGTTCGGTTGCCCCCTTACTGGGGACATATTTCTGACCGGTGAAAGACTTTGGGTTCTTCGGAGTGGGGTTTGAAGACGCGATTGAGGTCTTCCGAAAGACTGGTCTTGAACTCTGGAATGGCAGTTTAATAAAGCTGTAAAGTCGCGTTTTCAGTTATATTTGTTCCTTCTGTAAGATTTCCTTTTCGTTTTTTTTACGAACGATTACTACATCTTTGACTGTTTTTTATTCATTTCTTCATTTCAAACTCATATATTATTATGGGAAATGCAGAAAATAAACATCGATCACTTTTTATAGGTGTTTTTATTCTGTTAGCTCTTTCAATGTTGTATACATATCTTCAGACAGTAACGTATAATATTATACTCATAACAATGACGTAACGTTATAAAGGTGAAGGAAACGTCAAAACATGACGTACCTCGAAAAATGAAAAAATCTTGTACTAACATTACAAGCATTGAAATGTAAGAAATATGTGCATAATAAAACTTCTATTTAATATTTATTGAAATTCAAAATAGTCACTTATTATAGAAGTAAAAAATCATTCCTAATCAGTATTTACAAATACATGTATAGCAATATGAACAAAGTAGAACTTCTGAATTATTAGCAAATATTTTATATTAATGTCAGCAAAATACTTTTAATGGAAACGTCAACTGAAAGATAAGTTTTACTATGTACTTCTTGTTTCTTACAAATTATATTATATTCACTGTGACATAGTATAATTAACCAAGGCATACCATTAGGTCATATATTAGGTGTGTACCAAATGTTTTTTAAAAATCCAAATAACACCAACAAACAACTTATAATAATAAAACATTTTACGGAAACAAATGATATTCGTTAGCATCAATAATGGGATAAAAAGCCATGCTATTAAACTATTGCAGTTACACGCAGCGGCATGCTATGTTTTTTTTGTAAGAATTTTCTACATGAAAGATTATGTCTGACACATTACTTTTTTACATGTCCCACTACCACAATATTATCTGTTCGTATTTAAATAAATAAAAGAACCTCTTCACCTTTAATAAAATACTCTAGATCAGTAAATTACATTTCCCAAATTGATACCTTATATCTTCTCTATACGAAAATGGTCGTCTGCGTTTTCCCTCAAGAATTGGGATTGAGGTTTTCCTTGAAAACAACATTTCAAACTTGTAATTACACAACTATTTCTTATCAGAAATAAGTGTTTGAATAAGAAATCAATTAGACAAATAATGGTATATGGAAACAAAAATCTAAAACGAATTATGAAAAGGTACAAATAATTCAAATATGCGTCGGTGTCATTCAATGTTGACAAATGTTACTATTATAAAATAAAAAAATGCACATTTCAAACCTGGATTCACTGCACAAAAAAGATCGGGAATTTTTATTTATTAAAACTGTATTTAAGAACGTGAAATTATAACATACTTTAAGTGCCTTATTAACACAGTCCAGTGTTTATTAGAATCAAACATGTACACGTCCGAAATATGTCGGACATGTTTGCAGTTTAAAAATTAATTTCATAATTTTTCGCCATTTTTATTGGGAAGGAACATGAAAATTAATCGTAACAAGTGATTTAAGTACCTCGGTGGATCAGCGTACGATTTTGGTCGCTCATTACGACTTCCAAGTCGTTGTATCTCTCTAGGTTCTCTACAAATCATATGATGCATGGGGTGGGTTGTCAATTAAAAACGAAATAATATTGTATATATTTGTTACAAAAAAAGCAACTTTTGATAACGCATATTAAAAAATGTATAGGTGATTTAAGTGCAATAATTCCAAAACAAATTCCTTAAATTTTCAAATTTTCTAGTTGATGTTTTAATATTCTTAATTAAGTATTACCTAAACGAAAGCAAATCAGATAACAGAAATAGCTTCAATTTTAGTGTTTTATTATTATCTAGTTTTGTACTGTTATACTTCTAAATACTTCTGTTGAAGGTCTCTGAACTTAAAAGATCATTCCTGTAATTACAAATGAAGAATTAACTATACTTAAATGCTTCGTTTAAATTATAAACTCTCAATTTAACTGGTTTTAATAGATCAAAGAGATAAGCATGAAATGTTTACACTGTATACCTGTAACTTTTAAAAGCCCACTTCCTCCAATGGCGTTCATAAGCCGAATCTTCCGGTCTAAAATGTTTACGAATTCTGATATAATAACATCTAATTCTGTACGCGTTGCTACACACATTTTTAGTAAGAATAGAAACTACCATATCTACATATATATTTATGAATATATATTGGATAAGGTTTTAACAAAGAAACTGTTTATAATCATAGTAATATAAAGTTGATATATGTCTGTTAAAGGCAGATGAAAAACATAGGTTAAATCACAGTCAAGCAAAGAACAATGGAAAAGGAAAAGCATTATAAGATAGATTCACAGATGATAAAATGACATATCTATTTATGCATGACTATCAAATAAGATCTTAAATGACAAATTTCACACATAACTTTTCACATATTAAATAAAATGTTAGTTAAACGTCCAAACCGTTTACCAGTTGAATTTGTGTAATGTATTTGACCTGCTTTGAATTCTGAGCTGTCCATTATAATTTTTGAAGAGATTTCAATGTCAAAATACAACAGAATTGATGTACATGTACCAACAACAATAACGAACCAGGTCAGATTATATCAGCCTACAGTCTGACCTGGTGATTGTAAATGAGTCTCACTTGATTTACAATAATCATAAAATCTGTTCATTCGCATACTTCATACGCTGTTACAATTTAATTTGTCACTTTTCATTAGTAAGTGGTTAAATATTTTACTTAACAATATTATGCTGTAACAATTTGTTTATTGGCAATTTTTTTGTATAATGCATTTAAAATCTTTCATGTAATGCATTAAAACAGGACACATTTTTTAAACTACAGAAGATTATTTCTATTATATTCAAATGAATACTTCGTAAGACTCTAAACAAATGTTTGTTTGACAAGAAACTAGTTTTGTTTCTTCTATGAAACTTCATTTTAATTAGATCAAGCACTTCATTTAACTTAAGTCTCACTTTTCCAAATGACAACAGTCTAAAATTGAATACGTCACAAATTATATTGTTATGATTGGTAGTCCATGAAATATGTCTGATATTCCCTTATGTTACAAAGCTAAAATTTCATAACAAATCAAGAGACTACACTGCCAAATATCAAACATTAGCAGAAATCTGAAATCTAATATTAGCTCAGCTGTATGTCATGTGACTTATAGCAGTGAATCATTTTGAACAAAGCTTTATGATGTATAATGAATTATAGGATTGATTCCAACTGTTGAGAATGAACTTCATCATAATGGTAGCAAAACCAGAACATAATGCTACTCTATCAGTCTATTTACAAATGTATTTAAGCTGAATATCTTATTAGCTAAGTTTCAAGCAAGTTTGGCTTTTTTGCCAGTTATCATACAAAAAGCATACAGATTGGGAACACGAGTATTGATTTATCTACAATATGATATATCTATGATTGATTTACAATTATACATGCACATGCACTACTATTAGTAGTTAGTGAATAATAAGCTGCACGATTTTTGCGTTACCTCTCATCTCGTCTAAACGTGTCACGGTCCGGTCCTCTTCTGGGATACGGAGGCGAAACGGATCTTTGCTGTGCATTCTGTTGCCAGCTTGGCTCATAAACACTTCAATTTTACATATAACATGTATGAATAAATTTCATAAACGAGTGTGATTGCAATATTTGTTATTTTAGACACAAGTTGTTAAATATAATTTCAACGTTCCACCAATTTACGCATTTATAGATACCTTAAAATTTTAATTCTTTAAAAATAAAATAAACATTACAATCTGAATTAGCAAAACTAAGTCATAAATATTTTTTACACTATTGATATGAATTATTACATTGGTATGTTTTTTTGTCTATTTTAATCTATGGAATAAATATTGTATCATTTTAAAAAGAAAACTAACAGATGTTAGATATATGCAACTATGAATTTTGCAACTTTTTCTATGACTCATAAATATTGACTGATCATATTTTTAAATTATATGACAAACATTTTTGTATTCTTCTATCGTATACTTAGTGTAAATTAAAATCTTATAAAAATATATTTCTTGTGCATTTCTTAATCTTCTATAAGTGTGGAGTTTTTAAAATTAATCTACATTTGCTAAGCCAGAAAAAATGACAAATGTTAATAATTATCCGACAATCGTGTATCCGTTTAGTAATTTGCACGATTACTAATTTGTTGATTTTCACAAGCAAAATGTTAAACACGAAAATAACAGCAGCAACAGCGTAGTGCACGAAATACTACAACATCATATACATGTACTATTCAACTTTTGCTAAGCACCATAAGTATCACAAGTATAAAACAGATTTATTTATTCTGATTCAGCAATGTTTTGAGATGGTCCCCTGACATGAATCCGTGTTGACTTATCCGTTCCGTTACAACTCGTCTAGGTAGCATGGAAAGCATGCACCCCAATATTTCATTTTTTGATGGGGCGTACAATCCAAGGTTTATTGTTATAGGCGACACAAGCGGCTTATTGTCATTCAGTGGCTTACTTTTCTTTCACCTGAATGCTAACATAAGGCGGCAATTGAGAAAAGCAGAGTTATGGAGGGCTGTAGGGATGGTGCAGCAGGGGACCACTTTCCGGCAGGTTGGTGCGGCGCTTGGTGTACATCACACCGTCATCACCAGAGCCTGGGAGAGAAATCGGCTACATGGTATACCCACCAGGAGGCATGCTGGAGATCGGCAAATGGTGACAACACCAGCTCAGGATCGGTTTTTGGTCGTTCAAGCATGTCATGCAAAGTTTAAGACAGTAACCTCTCATCAAAATGACCTTGCTAATGCTGCGATAGTCCGTGTTTCTACGAAGAAGGTACGTAGAAGGCTGCATGAACGTAATTTGCGCTCGAGAAGACATTGTATCCCCTTGACGCGTCGACATCGCCATGCCCTTTTGGAATGGATGATGGAGCATACACGGTGGACCATGCAACACTGGAGACACGCTCTGTTTACTGATGAGTCCAAGTTCTGCCTAGACGTCACAGATAGGTGTGCTAGAGTCTGGAGAATACGAGGTGAACGGTTTCAAGCTGCAAATATTGCTCAGCATGACTGCTACGGAGGTGGGTCAGTTATGGTGTGGGGAGGCATAAGCTGGGATGGACGAACCAACCTGGTTGTGATACAAAGAGGCACATTGGCAGGTCAGCGATACATAGGCGACATCTTAGACAACCATGTTAGGTTGTATGCTGTAGCCGTCGGCGATCATTCTTATGGACGATAATGCTCGCCCCCATAGGGCCAGGGTGGCCCAAGACTTCCTAGAAAGGAAGTCTATTGAGCGCATCGACTGGTCAACTCGCTCACCTGACTTAAATCCAATAGAACACATGTGAAATTAGCGGCAAGTTAGAATTTCAGCTCGTCAGCTGCAACCCAGAATCATCCAGGAACTTGGAGCCATGCTGAATTGATAAAACAGTTAATCTTCCGCACTGCGTTAATACAATTATCCCAAAAAATATTCACACTCAAACATATGGTGCTTAGCAAAAGTTGAGTAGCATAACATTATCAACATTGAAATAAGCAGACTGATTAAAATGGGATATACTTGGAATGTTTTATGATAATAATTTCTCAAAAAAATGTCTAATAATAAATCTAATATTTCTTGAAATTTTCTAGATTATGAAATATGCTTAAAATTAAATTGTAATTTAATTCAATGATGCGTGATATGAAAATGGTATGTTCTAAAAAGGTAAGGTAGATCTTGTTACTGCAACAGTCTTTAATCAAAAGTTAAATCAAAAGATACATAACAGACATTTCAGCAATTGTATAGGCAACGTTTCAGACTACTGAATAAATGTTTTTTAAGAGTTATGTATTAAAATTTTAAATAAACTTTGTTTCAATTCTAAATGCTAAAGCAAAGTTTATAAGTTTCGGAAGTAAACATGATTTCTTTTTTTAAATATGTACAAATGTACGTGAATAAGTTTTTTTAACATATTAACATAACATAAACAATTATAAAACGTAAAGAATTATTGACGAAATGGTTGAATCAAATTACACTTAATTATTTACATCAAATAGAGGATCTATGCGATCATCTTGACTTAGTCTGAAATCTTTTCTTTCAGTGAAAGAGATATAAGACTTTTTAGAGGTAGAGTAGAAACATGAATGTTGTGCACACGAGTCTGCATATAGAGATATCAAGAAGCAGTGACAAAAATATATTTATCAGCTTGCAACTATTATCTGAGCATGCTGTCGAAGTACCTTGGCCTTTCCGCAATGGACATTCTCCTCATGTTATTATCTCGATAGTTCCAATTATCAGCCCATTTATCTCCACCGTACCCACGCCATTTCGTTTCTTTGTCCCCACGCCAATTGTCCTTTTCATCTCTTTGCCAGCCTTTATAATTATCTTCATTTGTAGTAAACCTATCATATTCATTTTTGTAAAAGTTTTGAAATGGTTCGTCACTGTCGTCTCTCGCGGGATTCAGATCATGGTGGTATCTTGTACGCTTGTTTCGCTCCCTAGGACTGGCTGGCGGTGGACTCTTATTAATGGGGGATGGCGAGTTAAGTCTAAGCTTTGGCAATGTGGGTCGATCATGATACAATATCCTGTCTTGAGGTGATATTCTTTCACGGGATCTACACCTTTCTGGAGAACTAGCTTCCCTAAAACGTTATTCCTTTAAATTATTTGATGTTGTTTCGATAATATAAAGATATCGTTAAAATCTAACTTTAATATGATATCTTATTTGTTTATGTTTTTATTCCCTCATTTTATCTTCAGGTGTAAATTTAGTTCTATTCTTGAATAAGGCTACACAAAAAATGAGCAGAAAATTCTACTTTTTTACTTAAATTGTTGTTTTTTAAATATGTATATGTCTTTTCTTACCTAGCCTGTCCGGCATGTATTTAAAGATAACAAAATTTTAAAATATTAACGACTATATTATAAAGAACAATAACAAAATATTGTCGATTTGTTAAAGATTTGATATGATACCCTAAAATAATGAATATGAGGATTTCAAGAGTGTAGGTAATTGTGAAAATGTTATTTGAACAATGAGCTGACAGTGTTGATATTAAGGTCCATGGCATGAATCATGAAGTGAGATTGCCAAGCTCTCAACATACATTAAATACTTATATTTTGGCGCATAGAATTGGACACTTTTATGATTTGTGCTGCTAAATCCTTGATTTGCGTAAGCTGTCTTTGGTGTGTTTGCTCTGTTGAGAAAAAGAGCTTTACAAGTTCCTTGATATAACATGTACAACATTGATTAAGCAGTCTTGTAACAGTTGAATCCTAGACAAAGTTTTCATGTTATTTGTTTCTTCTTGCACCTATTATCCTATTGATTTATCATATACTATTTAAGAAAGTATACTACAACGTGTATGCAAAGTATAAAACAAGGCAAAGAAAACAACTTTTACTCTGGAAATGTTGTAGATCACATAGGAAAAGACCATAGCAATTCTTTTTTTATTACAATATGAATTTACAAACACATCACTTAATATAACGTAGTACATCATATACAACAGCTAAAAGTGATTAAAATAAATTAAAAAATACCATATCATCGGATAAAAGATATAAGCGCATTTTCGATTACATGCATCACTTTTTATTTTCTTTGTATATCATTTAAATAAGGTTTCTACCACAACAACATTTAACCCAAAACCTGCACAAATATTGAAATAGACTTGTCCTGTTAATGAATTTTGATCGGTTAATTTGAAAATAAAAACTGAGCTAGCAACAGACTGGTCCAACTACACGGATGTGCTGGCTTAATTAAATGGTGACAAAGGCTGATCAATTTCAGTTTCAGCAGGTTAAAGGTTAACATACACCAGTCATAATCAACACTTGAAACATCACATATATAATAGTTTACCTATTTTCTTCCGGTTTCTTTTCAATTCTTTCTCGTGGTGTGGCAACTTTCAGAACTGGGGTCTGACCCCTACTTTTGTTATGGAAATAAATATTTATCGTTTGAAATTGCTTATAAAAACCTTTTTCTGAACCAACAGACTTGGTAACTACATGTAAAGACTGTGTTTATTGAGCATATAGGTTATATTTGAGTTTATTTTTTTTACAGTTTTATTATCAAACGAGAATTTATGACCTATTAATAAATACATGTATGTTGCTGCCAAAACCTGTGGTATTTTAAAACGGTTATATTGCAGTGTTTTATTTTCACAACTAGATGCTCGTGCATTCACACCATGCGTGTTAATCATTAAACAAAACAAATAAAAAAGTCATAAATGAAAATAAGTGTCACTCAATTAAAATGTTCTAGTGGAAAAGCGTGTTGTCATCGGGTTTAGGAGTTTCTGGTTAATTTATTCGGATATTAAGACGGGGCTGCTAGACTGTAATATTTCCTAGAAATGATGCCAGTTTTCGAATCTTCAAATAAGACACTAAGATATAACAGAATTCTTACAAATTAATCCATGTATAATGTAACCTACCTGTCATCACGTCTGTTTTCCCCTCTTCGTGGTGAAACATCTCGTCGTGGGGACGTTCCTCGTCTCTAATAAAAAACAAATAAAAGATCATACAATTGCTGGAAATTAAATTTAGCATCAAAACATGCAATATATCATTAATTTTATCAAAGTATAATTCAATTTTCTACTCGCCCATCCTTATATTGTTTTAAGTTCTGGAATACGTTAATTTCCATTAACCCTCAAGAACAGACTCAGTCAAACCGAGTCTGCATTTTTCATGATATTTGGAAGTTCCATCTTCCCTTTTTCAGATTTGTGTATTTGATCTAGGAACTCAGTGGTAATCATGTCTATTGATTCGGTGATTGTTATATACTTGCATGAAATTTCATTTTTTCAAACAGAATAATTGTAATATAAGTTGCGCAAACATAAGACTTCGTAACATTTTTGTTATAAAATCTTCATTATATTTATATAAATCACTCTTGGCATTAGGCCCTTTAGACGCTCTCTTCAGAACATGTTGCATATAAACTCATATATAATATCTGATATATATTTGAAATATATTTTTAAACAAATATATTAAAAACTGCAAACGCCAACACCGACCCTAATAAAAACCAAAACACATACACAATGATAATTTGTCTCTTTTACACCATTTCACCATCAAGTAAAAGATAATCAGTTTCAGTTCAAACAAAGACACACGTAAGATTCATATTCAACTATTTTAAAGTCTACTTCTTCCTAATAATAATATATTAAGGTAAGTGCGATTCAGGTAGATTAAACATATTTTTTATGTTCAATCATATCGTAATTTTAGCTTTCTGAATTACACAATGTTTGTAAAAATGTTAAATTGTCCCAAAAAACAGGGAAATTAATGCAAAACCCATTGTAAGAAAAACTGTGGCTGTTTAACTACATCTATATACTGGTAAAAAAAACTAATGATAACAATAACTAAAATTTCATATATCTTAATTCTTCTACAAAAATATAATGCTTCGGACTGTGTTACACGTAAACAAAACAAATAATGGGTGTCACAAAAACTGTAAGTGTCGTTCTTATTACGATCAAATGTTATTGAACGAAGAAACGAAGAATAATTGAATTAAAACATCACAAATTTGAAATGACAAAAGATCATTTTATAACTGATATTGGGAATCTGGTAAGGATATATTAACCATACCTAGCAACAAAGAAAAGTCAATAAAAGTATGTATGATATTAATAGACAGACAATAACGAAATTTATTAAATGTGTCCAAAGGGCAGTATAATTTAGAACACAAATCGAATCATTAAGGGTAGAAAACGTACCAGTAATATTATTAATTGATTTTTACGAGATCTGATTTGGAAAGAGAAGTGACCGGAACAATATTGCATGCATCTTTCTCGACACTAATTTGATCTTTGGAAAGTCATCATTTTATTTTATACCTAAATCGTTCTAGTCCATACAATTTCATTATCTCTACGCCAATGCAGACTTTTTTTTATCAACATTCTTGTTTATAGTTACATATAGTTTAAAGTCCTAAGGTAATCTAATTTGCATACACAACAAGGATAAGTGAAAGGCTGACATAAAAAGTGTTAAGTGCGAAACACTAGCACACGGATCACACTAGATAACCTTCTGGTGTTATAACGGACCTCAGTATCGGCGTCTGTTCGAGGCCAGTTTGGCACGGGTTCGGGATAATGTTTGGCGTATTCCAGGGGACGTTTACTTACTGGAATCGGTAGACCGGTATTTGATGGACGCACACGTTGCAAAAACTCCAAAAAGGAGTGCCATCTGTAATGGAAAGACAAAGTAAGTATATGCATATGGTATTTCTGTTTGAAAAATATGCGTTAATTTAAAATTTAAAAAAGTTTGAACATAACATATATATATATTTAACTGGTTAAACTTAAGGCTAGCATGTCTATCAAGGATGAATGTAATATTCTATTTTATAGATAAAACTAATTGTTTAAATAATTATAATTCTTTTTCCCAAAACATTATCAAAACTAGTTTAATCCATAAACAATACAACACAGTTTATTTGCTTTAAACATTATACAACATTTTTTATACTACTAAATTTTTTTTTGTTACCTGTATTGGCCATCTCTATTGTTGTCCTCACACAGGTTCAATATTTGGTTAATAACAGAGTCAGACAAAGGCAATTTTTGGTCGTAGCATATGTCCTTAATCTAGAAACAGAATATAAACGACATGTTAGAATAGAAACGCTAAGTCAGAAAATGAACAGCATGTCTGTATATAAACGGTGTGTCAGACTATAAACGGCATATCAGACTATAAACGGCAATCAGTAATATTTAATATATAAGTTTTAATCAGAAAAGCAATCTTGGTTGTCTGTACTTTTCTTTCATCAACTTTTACATTTGAATGTTGAGTTTTGCTGCAGCCGGTGCTATGTGGATGAACGGTAGCATGAATAGCAATACTGTCATCAGTAACTTTTATGTAATTTCCTTGATTGGGTACAAATTAGTATCATCCTTTATTTTAATGCACTATGTAAGTAAAAATTACTCTGACCATTATTTAGACGACATCGAACTAAATGCTAAATGCTTGTCGAATGCTATCTAGATATTTTGTTTATTATAATACTGCACGTTTGTAACGTCACTTTTCATTGGATAATCGTAAAGTTTATATAGTTTTATATACAGAAAATGATATAATGAAATCTCTTTTCTATAAAAAGGGAAGTTTGCAGTATTATAAATTCGTTATAAAGATTGTTGACAGGTTATATGGCCGAATATATTATTGCGGCTCGGGTTATATATACAAACAACCGTTTATATAGGGCCATATAACCTGTCAAGAATCTTTATAACCAATAATATAGACGGCTGCCGTCAATTTTCTAAGAAATCTCGCTTTCTTTCAAAACAGGAGGTTTGCTGTATGTAAATTTTTCATAAATATTCCTGGTAGGTTATATGACCGTATATAAACGGTTGTTTGCAATATAACCCTCGCCTAGCGGCTCGGGTTATATTTACAATCAACCGTTTATATTATATGTTATTTTGGTTTTGGAGTGATATATGTGGATATATTACCTGCTAAGATTTTATATCACCCGAGCCGTAAGGCGAGGGTGATATTTTATCTTGGCAGGTAAACATACCGTTTATATCATTGGGGAGTTTATTTTTGCATAAAACATAACCTGTCAAGGATCTTTATAACCAATAATATAGGCGGCCTGCCGTCTAATTTTCTAAGAATTCTCGCTTATCTTTCAAAACAGGAGTTGCTGTATGTAAATCTTCATAAAATGATTCCTGGGTAGTTATATGACCGTATATTAAACGGTTGTTTGGCAATATAACCCTCGCCTAAACGCTCGGGTTATATTTACAATCAACCGTTTATATAGGGTCATATAACCTGCCAAAAAATCTTTATAACTTATAATATAACTGAAATAAATAAATATACACAATATGTTAAAAAATTATTTCTAAGTTTACTTCTTAAAGGGTGAAATGTTTAATAATACCCTATCAGAAGAGTGTTTTAACTGAATTAGTCTCTATATCATTTAACGTATGTGTCTCACAGAAGAAAACTTTTTCTTACAACATTTTCAACTGTTAATTTTGATATGTCAAAGAATGCTTTTACGCAAGTACCAGAAGAAATAGCTTAGAAGTCTATCCAAGTTTAAAACGAGATACTTAAGGAACAAAAAGTGACAGGTATCATTTAAAGTTCAACACAATTAAAGATAATTAACCTTAGCGACAAAGTGTGTAATGCATCAGTAACTGCTCGACAATGTCAAAGTCAAAAGTCACCTCAGTAAAAGAAAGTGCTGTAAAGCTTTAAATATTCAACATTGTTTGAGACAAAATACCTTAGCAACAGAGAGGGAAGTGCAGCAGTGTTTAAGACAAGCTACCTTAATAACAAAAAAATGTAGTGTCGCAGTAATTGTTCGATAATAATAAAGAAAATAGACCTTAGCGATAAAGAGTGCAGTAGTGTAAAAGGAAATGATCGACACAATACCTAAGCAACAAAACGTGTAGGTTTTCAGTAAATGTTCGTCAATGTTTATGACGATAAATACCTTAGCAACAAAGAGTGACGTGTGGCAGTTAGTTCTCGACAATATTAAAGATAAGATTCCTTACTTAAAATAATGTTATGTAACAGTAGATGATTGATAATGTTAATGACAAGATGGGCAGTGGAGGGTGTTTGCTCAACAATGTTTCACACATGATACCTGAGCAGCAGAGAGTGTGTCGCGATGGTCTCTGTCACGTTCATAGAAGCTGTTTTGCCATCGAGTCCAATCCATCGCATACGTGTTCTTTGAGAGCTCTTGCTCAACCAGACGCAAAAGTTTGGCAACTTCTCGGTCACGATAAATTGAACCAGTTTTGAACCTACAAGAACACAAAAAATTGATCTCGGTTAAATGTTGCATTCTTTATGTTTCAATGTATTCTCTATAATCTATAATTTTATTTTCCAAATTAGGTTTAAATCATATCAATTTTAGGAATGACTTACGATTCTCCATTTTGCATGTAGTACTTTGGCTGTTTCTCTTGAGACCTGAAAATGAGAGGAAACTGTGAATGTGAAAAGGGAATCTGATATCATGTAAGTAGAATATTTTAAGTAGAAAACTGTTAGATATTTAAAAATATTAATACTGAACGCCTTTCTATACTGTATCAGAAATTATGCCCGTGCAGAAAAAAAACAACAACAACAAAATGCTACATAGAAGTTATTTAACCAATGAAATACGAATATTGTAACTTGGAGGACAGATACTACATCATGAGAAAAATAGTTCCATATTTACACTACTTAAAACATTACTCTTTATAAAAGATACTTAATTTTTAATATTACATTATATTTGGTTCACACTTTCCCAACACCATTTTGTCGATTAAACAATTAGTCGCCACCGACTGAACAATACGTTACTGTATATAGGGCTCTATCATATTTATTAATTTCTTTTCAAATGTACAAGTAAACTTGCACAAAAACATTTTTCACGAAAACAACAAAAATAAAACAATGTGATGTAGATAAAACAATGAAGCTACAGTGCAATATACTTTGAGATGCGTGGTTAAATACAAGACATAGATGAAGGATATGAACACAGAAGTTTAGTCATACATCTATAGTTTTGCTTTTTTTAAATAGATGAAACTAAATTTGCCAAACATCAACACAGAGTACAAACAGAACAAAAAGTAAACACTCTAGCCCATAAGAATGCCTGTCAAATCACAAATATGTTTAAAATAAAACTACAATATGCTATGTCCTGTTTTATGTCAATAGATGTCAGATCAATTGATATCACTTTAGCGTTTAATTCCTAGTCACTCAACACATATTCGAACCTGTTAAGATCATCTTTATCAGGGTCAACTATATCTTCTCGTTTTGGGGCAGGACTATGCCGTTTATCTCTGTAAACAATTTATTTATAAATCAATGCAGATTTTATTCAGTGATCTCCTGCGCAAGTGCATGACATGACAATGCAATATCATGTTTATATGCTATGTATGCAGCTTGTTCTTATTCTAAATAATAAGTTCTCTAAAGCGGTTCATACATATTATATTCTAAAGAGATACTGAAATTCATTTATGATAATGATTCGTCAGAGAAATGAAACATTCTTATACAACTACAAACACTCAGTGTAAAATCCATGCAATATATTAATGTCTTTTCTTGACATATAATAAAAGGAAACCAGGGTGTTACGCACTAAATTACATAATATATATATATAGATATAACTGAGCAACCATTAATGTTTAGAAACATAAGTGTTCCTGCATGTAATAGCCACACAAAACTGTACTCTTATGGTATTTCAGAATTCGGCAATAAAGAGCATTCAAGTCTTGACTTTGAGATTTTTGTGCACAAAATACTACAATGTGCTGTGTGCTTTAAGCAGTATATAACTGTAAGTGCTATTATATTACCAAGGATCAATTTCACGTAGAGCACTAGCAATAAAACAATGCTAATTACGGTAATGAATACATAGATGTAATAATTTAAACAATACACAGTGTGAAAAAGCTATAGGTGACAGAAAACTTGATACTTTCTTCTATGTGCAAACACATAGATACTATGTATGTATGAATTACATTGTACTTAACAAAAGGAAACTGTGTCTAGGAATACTGATGTAAGCACAGATTATCGTGTCAAAGTAGTAAAAAGTAAGTTATCACGAGTGAATACGGTTGAACTAAAAGTGAAATCTAGTTTAAGAGTGAAATTCTTGTCACATGACAAACCCATGACAAACCTCGGTGTAGTGCTAAGGCTGTTGGAATTTCCACCACTTTCTCTAAAGTTTCAGATATTTGAGCAAATACAGTTATCATCGAAATATATTGTAAAGTGTTTTTTTTAAGATTTGTGTTGAAAATAATAGAATGAATATAAAACACATATGAAGAGTACATAAATATCAAATTTAATATCTGAATTAAACAGATTTTATTTTAATTTATTGAAAATCATGAAGCGTTTGTCTCGGAAACCTTTTACCGTAAAAAAAACCATGTAAATGAAATTGTAATTCTTCTAAAAATTGCTTTTTTTTACATATTAAGCGATGAATGTTTTGATGATTTTCAAGCTGTAAAGTATCTATTATTTCTGGTTCTTTTTGAGATTACGATTTTAAAAGTATATTTACTTATGATTACCAATGTATCTATCGTTTTGATATGACATGTGTTTGCAACATATAATAAGATTAACAACAATACTTACAATTGTCCATTAGAGTTTAGGTGAAGTGCCGACCCAATAAATGAGAGCGTCTTTTCGTAATTCACTTTGCCTGGATAATTCGGATCAACAAATTGGGCAGCCACAAGCCTCAATGTTTCTGGCATATAAGCCTGCAAAACAAATTATCTTTTAACCAATACAAACAACCCCACGGGTATTATACATGTATTCTAAAACATTGAATAGTATACCGTTCAAGAATCGTTTAAGTCAATATCTGGTTTATTTTAACAACAATCTTCATTCATTTGAAGAATTTAAAACTTTTTATCATTACATCAAGCAAAAGTACAAATATTTCATAGATATTCTTCTTTTAAAATCATAATTATTTGATAAATTTTGCATAAAAATTGGCATGTTGAGACTTTTTTTAGATGAAAATAGGGCTAGGGCTTCAATTGATTCAAGGTGTGCTTCAGCAGATGGTAATGCACGACAAAGTAGGTACTTTTACCACATATTGTACCATGCTATATTAGTAGTTGTTAAGTGCTGATGATCTACTTTTAGTAATGAAACAAATGTCTTCAACCAATCAATAAATTGTGGCCTTATGTAAAGCTATTGAATTTTGTAAAACAAAGCAAAAATACAAAGGTAAACTTGTTAATATACTTCTTTTTGTTATGCATAATTGGCAATATATCAACACCGATTCGCACAATTGTTTTCCTTAACTAGTTATGAAACAGATACTAATTAAACAAATAAAATAATTAATATCAGGTACTTAAATATTTAAATAAATAAAGGAATGAAAAATTGTGTATACTTCGCGGTTCTTTTCTCCTTTGAAACTAATGACGTCGCACAAAATATTCATTTGAAATACCATATTATTTACAATAAATCTTTGTTAGCATACCGAAAGTAAATTCTGTAAATTAGTAAGATATAAGCACTTAATTCAGTTTTTTATTTACTCTTTATCGCATTATGTATAAGAACAATAATTAAAGGTTTTCGTTAATTTAAATATTTTTGTGTATTTCTTGAGAGCTTATAACATCTCTGCCTTTAAATATATAAAGATATAGTTAAGGTCTGACATCAACAAATATTTTATGCATTTAAAGATTTCTTTATTTGAAAGTACGTATATATTCTATACAACTCAGTCATTGCATTTTCCAATTTTATGTTTTGTGTATGAAGCAAATTTTTACAGTTCTCTTTTTGTGTTTAGATATTCATGATATGACTATAAGTTGAGGATGACATCTCTGTAGACACGTGTTTTGTTTTATCCAGTCATTTGTCATATCTCGACACTCGATCCACCTTACACGTTTCCCTTGATAACTAACCAAGTAATTACCAATTTCTCTTTGTTAATCGTCATTGGTTTCAGCAGGTCTAGCATATTAATCAAAGCTTATTTTCGTAATGAAATGTTTGAAAAACCAATGACCGTATTATCAAAATTAAAATAAAAAGACCAATGGAAGATATAGGAGAGAGGTAAAATATAAAAAATGATCAGTACAAAAAGAAAATCATATCAAATTGCCCAGAAAAGTCATTTAAATTCAATAAAGACCATTTTAGAAGTTGAACGACAAATAGATTTCACAGACGTACCTTAAAGCTGCATTTAATAAATTTCACAAAAAGAGAAATAGTGACATTTCATTAATAAATTGGGTTTCATATCGACTCCACATCTTACTTTGGTGTCCAGACAACCAAAATGAGTTTATATGCATAAAAATCTGCAAACTCATTGTGGCGAAATCGTAAATACAATTTCTGTTGCTTGAGAAACTCAGCCTTCGGATCATCCGTACATCAATATTAAATCAACAAACATGGCTATAAGTATCAGTCCTAAATTAACAGTATATTTCCGCATTGTTACGGATGTTTTCATACAAATTTAGTCTTTTTTTGAGACGATTATTTTCTTTGAACGCCTGGCCTAATGCACCGTGAAGCTTAAACGGTTAAAGTGTTTTTGGACAAGTAAATCTCATATTTGCTGTGATCCTGATAGCAGCTATAACACTGAGACGTAGCGCATACACAGGTTGATAAGTCTTCATTTGCATCTTAAAATTCTTTTACAAACTTCAGTTGTTATTTATGAACAATATTTGATGAGATTTTCAACAATACTGTTAAAAAGGTTAATGAAACTGTAGAATGCTTGGTATTTAGGCCGATGGCAAAATGTTTTTATTTATTTATTTAATGCAGCTTTAAAGATAAAAATATTTTTTCATGTGTAAATCTTTTCTTTTTTTCGAAGTTTACTTTGGATTAAAATCATATTTATCAATTATCACGATAAATATTATCAGACAAAATATTACACGTTTGTAGAAATGTTATCATACAAAAACTCTTAAGCTGTTGGTACCAAAAGTAACTGGTCTTTCACCAGCAGTGTAGATCCTGGCCAGTCTATACATCCGTGACCAACCTTTATATTGTTAACTAGTAAACTTAAAATGTTCTTCTTCGTGTCTCTAAAAGTAACATTTAGAAAAAGACAGTTCGAAAATAAAAAGCAGATTAATTCAACGGGTTAAGGGTTAAAAAAAGAGGAAATAATTTATACTGACCTTGTGTCTCCTAAGACTGTTATCCAATATTTCTATTCCACAAAATCCACGCAACTCTTTGTCATGCTGGCTACACTCAATATACACTTCTCTTAATTCCTTCGGATCAAATCTATTCAACTCATTACAAATTAATTTACACAGATTTGTTTCCTGTTCCCGAGTTAATTTGATAGGATCCACTGGTAATAGAACATTTCTCGGAAGAAGCATGAAAAGATTTTTACGCTCCGACTCTGACACAAAATAAAAATCCTTGCCAACATGCGAATGATGTTGTTCCATTTCTCGGTCGAAATCGCGTCCTAAAAAGTAATTCTGTTTATATTCTGTGTCGTCTGCTAGTGGTGGATTTTTGTTACCCGTCCAAGGCTCTGCTTCGAAAACAGTGGACAGATCATTACGTGTCCGATTTTGTTGTATAGGAGGTAAGGCCTTGAATTGCCCTCGTACTACGTCCTTTGAATCCGGTCTTTTGTTAACAAAATTTGTCGGCTGAAAAGTAAAATTATATCAGACAACAATTAAATCTCTTGTAGAATGAATGAGTTTGTATGTCTTTAACAAATCATAACAACGCAGAAGATATTCTTTTATCAAATCCAAGATTAACGATCCAATTAGGTTTGATGAAGTGCAAAGTAAATATACTTAACTCAGTAAAAGCAGATATTTTAAAAAAGATCACTTACTTTATAAAACTACTAGAGTTGTTAAAAAAGATCATGCAAGCAATTTAAAAACTTACACATACAGATCTTGATATAGTAATAAAACTACTGAAACAATGGCAGTAGTTAAAACAATTGACTGCTTCAGTATTGGAACTATTGCCAAATTGTTTTGGCTTGTCGTTTAGTTAACGACGGGGACGAACAATTGATACGGACAAAGTGGTTGACAGATTGATTGTTAACAACGAATTAGGCCATACAAACCTGAATAATAGATACCAGAATAATACCAGTACCGATATAATCTTAAATGAACACATATAACATAAATACTGATTCAAAATGACAAGACATCATGAATTACAATGTTTTAAATTATTAATTAAATAAGTGTTTATCAACTATTGAGAAAGTTACGTAATTTTAAAGAATAGAAAATTAACTTATCTTAGCAAAACTGAAAACTGTAGATGACCTTAAATAGTTCATAAAAATTAAATGCTTGACAGCTTTGACATTATTGTAAAGCATTTTAATGAAGCATGAACTTTTTGCTATTTTCAACAAATAAGCTAATCGTGCGTTGTGCTACACACCAAAAATACTTTTGTGCTATACAAATTTCTGCGACATTTAATACTTCCCAAAATAATTAAATTTCACACAAAACATAAACACGCTGCAACCTTCACCATTGGTGTAATGAAAATGTAATTCAGTGCATAAAACTGTCACGTCACAATTAACTTTATTGAATAACGTATAACTGGAATTATAAATGTTATAATTGTGAGCACTATCTGAAAAGATAGATAAATGTATGTCAGACAAATAATTTAAAAAGCTGTAAAAAAAGTAAAAAAACAACAAACAATAACATTATACAAACTTAGAAATCAGCTCTTCCATAGTCATACGGTTTTTATTGTTGTAAATTATTAATATTTTAAAATTTCTCATTTACATACATTTATTTATATGTCTAATAATCCCTAGTAATAGATATTCTTAACATGTCAAAACCATGTAACCACATAAAAGCATAAAAACAACTTTTGCTTTAATCAATGCAAGTCTTGGCTAACATAACAGCTTAATAAGTAATGCCAAGTTAAGTTTGATAAACTGACTTTGGTACGACTTCAGTGTCGTCATAAACATCATTTGAAGGACAATCCTAAACATGCTAAATCTGTTTCATGAATTCCACGAACAGTTCATTTAAAATGTAAGTAATTGCAATATCAAAAAGTAAATAAATAAATAAATAATACAAAAATGACCAACAGGGCATGCCTGGCAGTATATACTAGTGATAAGGCTAATTACTTTTGTTTACACCAGGTCATTGGTTTACTTAGGTCTTAAATGTCATGGTGTTTAAATGGCAATAAATACCAAATTAAATACAAATAAGCCTATGGAAGTTTTCAATTTCTTTACCAGTTTTTTTACAGACATGTATACAAATTAACATTTATAGCATATCTTATACTACCTTATCACCCAGTTCGTTATAAAACCTTTCAAAGTCAAATCCTTTATGTTCTAAAGGATGACTAAATATCTCCTAGTGTATACAAAATAAAGATATTTTATTCATAAACGAAGTATTTTTTATCATATACGGAATTACGAAATATTTAATCATGTAGTCGTATCTATAGTAAGAAATGTTAATAAATGCTAAAAATTGAGCAACTGAACTTGGAGAAATTATCATTGAACTAAATGCTATACTATATGTCATCTAAATATCGTTTTGTTATGGTTTCAAAATCTACCATGTTAAGTGTTACATGCCAAAATGATTAATCAAATAATGACACCAGGTATCAAAAACTGAAAGCAAAAGTGAGGAATAGAAGCATTGAAAAAATATATACATGTAAAGGTTAATACATAAGATGATCCAAAATAAATATTCAGAACGAGCCAGGCATCACAACTATAACAACAACAACAACAACAAATACTTTTATTTAGAATCAGGTCACATAAATGCAACAACATGATCAAAAAGATTTTTTCTAATTGTGGGCATTTTAATTATATTTTCAAACTATATCCAATAACATAGAATGACTATAGCTATAATGAAAATGATATATGGAACAGGTGGGGACAGTAGTTTTCGTATGTAACAATTTAACAAAATACAATATGTAAAAATTTCGTATGTAACAATTTAACAAGATACAATGTGTAATTGTAGTAGTAAGATTTTTTTTTCCAAATAAATAAAGTATCTTCGTATATAAAAACAAATTGAATAGTTAAATTCAAATCTAACGGGACAAACTGAAATCAATACACCGTTGAGAAATAATTATTACAACTTTTACTATATCAATGTGCTTGGCGCACGGGAAGCATGGTTTTTCATTCATAGATTATCTAAAGAAGGCGTGGCCAAGACTGAAAATCTTTCGGCGTAACCAAGCAACGGTGTGGCCGAGAATCGAAGTACAAGTCAAAAGTGCTCGCGTACTAGTCAGTGTGAAAAATAATAAATGGATTTATTGTTCATATGAATATTAATATTGATTCGGGCTCTTTGGGTTAACGAAAGGTAAGCAAGACATAAGTGTTAATAATTATGTTCAATATTTACACGCGTTATATTTTAGGTTAACCTTTGTTATTTAATTACGAAAATGGTTCATTATTTGTCGCGACATGTGCGTTATGTTTAATAATAGGTTTGGTGAATCGGAGGAAAACAGTTCCGCGAACTTCGGGACGTTCGGTCTATTATAGTAAGTTTTCGGGATAAATTTTATTCTCGCTTGTCTAAAAAAGGGACATTTAAATAAATAGTGGAATTCATCACCGATTTCGTTAAGAGGGCACAAAACGCATTATCTATTTTCATATTGGACGTGGGAGTTGTACCATCGCCCCGTTTCAACCGGTAATTTATGATTACCAGTTCTAAAATGAAATAAAGTCAGTCTCAAATGGCTTGGTAAGATTTTTAGATATGGTTCAAGTTTTACGTCAGTTTTATAAATTCTATAGTTGGTGCCTTTTGACGAATTGGTCAGCTGGTTATCCCATTTCTGTAAAAACTGATCAATAAGAGTACGTTTAATAATTTGATCAACATTTTTAAGGTTATTGGTATTTTGGTGTATCCAAAAAAAGGTGTTCCCCGTGGAGTTAAGAATATCTTTGACAAAATTCAACCATTTGTTATTAATATTAGAGTTTAACATATTATCGTAACATATTTTAGATATTTTATTTTGATTTCCGAGGACTAATTTGCTCCAGAATTTAATTATTCTTGATTTAATTATAATTTCTAGAGGATATCTGCCTAGTTCTCCGTAAAGCATATAGAGGGGCGTACTTTTCTTACTTTTCGTAATTTTTCTGAGGAAGTCGTTATGTACTTTTTCAATAATGTCAATATTCTCAAAACCCCAGACCTCGCAATTATACGTGAGTATTGGTAGTATAGTCTGATCGAATAATTTAAGTTGAATATCTATAGGGAGATCAAGGTTAAATATTTTTGTATATAATACATGCATTGCTTTGTTTGCTTGACTGGAAATTAATTTTCTAGCACTAAGGAAGCTTCCTGAAGATGAAAATAAAACTCCTAGGTATTTATATTCTTTAACGATTTCAATTTGTTCTCCATTAAGAAAAAAGTTAAATCTTTCCGGTTTGTTAGTTCCAAATACGATTATTTTTGTTTTACTCATGTTTATAGTTAATTTCCAAGTTTGACAGTATTTATGAAAATCGTTTAATAAATTTTGAAATGTATCTGCATTTTCGCTGATGATAACAGTGTCGTCTGCATAGAGCAGGATAAACAATTTTAAATATAGGTCAATATCAGTATTTGGACGTTCAATTAAAATTCCGTTGTTGTTTATAGCAAGATTTGATTCTAGATCGTTAAGATAGATAGAAAACAGGATCGGGGACATATTTTCACCTTGCCTGACGCCACACTGGCTTTTAAAAAACGGAGAAATATTATTATTTAATGTGACACATGACTTAATATCTGCATACATGTTAAAAATGACCTGGAAGAGTTTCCCATTGATACCGGTTTGTAACAACTTACTCCATAAACCCACCCTCCAAATTTTGTCGAAAGCTGCAGAAAAATCAATGAACGAACAAAAAAGTTTTTTCTTTTTGGCTCTTAACTTATCTATAAGAAATTTTAACGTAAAAACGTGGTCTGACGTTGAATAGTTAGATCTAAAACCTGCTTGATTTTCGTTCAATGCGTTATTGATTAAAAGGAACTTATTTATTCTTTCATTTAAAATTGCAGTAAACAATTTTCCTAAACAGCTTAATATTGTTATTGGTCTATAATTTTCCACTGCGAGTGGGGACCCTTTCTTTTTAAAAATTGGGGTTATATTTCCTATTAACCAGCTGTCAGGTAGAATACCGGAATCAAGTATTTTGTTAAAATAGTCGCAGTAAATTGGTGTCATTATATGTTCAGTACTCTTTAAATATTCGTTATATATATAGTCTTGTGGTGATGCAGCTTTTGAGTTATTACATTTCCGAATCGCTTTACTTATTTCTGCACAAGAGATTTTACCATTAAGGATATCATTGTTTTCTTGTGAATTTATGTCAAAGTCAAAATTAAAGTTGTCATCATATTCCGTATCGACATTAGTATTTTTATAATATTCGTAAAAATTCTGGATGTCTGGCATTTTATTTTGTTTAGATTCAGTATTAAAACTATTCAAAATTTTCCAGAAATCCTTAGGCCGGTTTGAATGCATATGACGGAGTTTTCGTTCGTTTTTCGATCTGTGTTTTTGTATAAATGTATTCATCGTTTGTTTATAAACTTTACTCGCCCTATTTAATTCGCGCCTATATAGGTCAGACTTATGCAAATTATATCTCTTTTTCGCCGCGTGGTATCGCCGCCTATATTTAGCGCAGAGAGGCCCGAACCACGGTTTAGAATTATTTTTATTTATTGAAAAAGATGTGTCATTGTTAGGAAATGTCGATGTCGCCGAATCATGAAAAAGTTCCGCAATATGCTCCGAGACCAAATTTATTTCGTGTTTAGAGGCATTAGGTGATATATTTTTAACCATATTTTTAACATCGTTGATTTTTTCGTCACGTAAGTTTTCTACGAATTCATTTGTTAACTTATTTTGCCATTTTGGTGGTTTCGATGTCGCCATTTGGTTAATAGTAACTTGCGGTTGGGGAAAATTGTTTGGAAAATTAAAAGAACAATTGACAGTAACTGAAAGGAGGGAATGGCCGTCAGAAAACAGGGGATCAGTGTTTATTATTTCAAAATTTGCAAAAAATTTAAAACAGTTAATTGTTGACACTACGTAGTCTATGGTAGAAGTATCTCTAAAAGTAAATTCACCAACTCTATAATCATTGCCTATACGCCCATTTAAAATAAAAATGTTACTGCATTTGCATAACTCTAAGAATTTAAACCCTAAAGCATTTGTTTTTTTATCTTTAGATGTCCTATCCAATGGGATATCATTATTGGTTAGAATCTCTGTAGAGCTAAATTCGCCTAAAAAGTCCTCACTAAAATCAAAATGTTTTTGAAGAAATTCATCAAAAATCACGTAATCAGGTAAATCGGCAGTGTGTGCGTTTGCATCGCCCAGGATAATACAATATTTGTTGTTACTACATGTAGTAGAAACCTCGTTTTCGAATTTGAAAAATTCGTCATCATTGTAAAAACGCGACTGTTGGGGAGGGATATATATAGCACCGATAAACAAATCTTCGTCTACATCAGTAAACAGAGATTTACAAATTTTAAGCCAAAAAATATATTCGCATTCAGACTTCTTAATTTCGATATAGTCAGTAACTGAGTTTTTAACTAAGAAACCAATACCTCCCGATTTTCGAATATATACCTCATTCCGTGGCTTAGAATAAAATGTGTATCCAGGTATTTGAATAACATCATAAAAGTCAACTTTAGTCTCACAAATACAAAATATATCATAATTATGTATCAATTCTATGAAATCGGGGTAATTACATTTACTTTTAAGTCCACAGACGTTAAGACTTCCGATCTTTAAATTTGTTTTATCTGACGAAAAGCCAAAGGAAAAATTCTGGTTTTTAAGGTTTTCAATACATGCAAAATTTTTGTCTAACTTATTGGAAATTTTTGTAGTACTTGTATCGCAACTAGTAATAGTTTCGTTACCTTGTTGTTGAATATAATGATCACATATTATTGTTTTAGAAGAGCATGGCTTATTTAAACACAAATCACATAAAAAGACGTCCCTGTTATATGTATAGTCATCGTTTGTTTGAGAAGTATTAATGTTTATGTCCGTTCTAGTTCCGGAAAACAAATCAGATCTGAGCACTGTCCCCGTCACATGCTATCCATCCGAATCAGAGTCATGCGTCGAGTTCGCGACCAAGGGGATATCCTCTATGCCATCATCTGCCTGTTG